AATATGCTGACTCTCTGTAAACCGCTTAGAGAGGGCTGAAAGCCCTATGAAGCGGTATATAAGTCTACTGCTATTGCTGTGGGATAGCCACCTCCCAATGCAGCCATTGCCGTGCGCCCCATTTTTGACCTCCACGCATTCAGTTTTCAGCCCCATTCCAAGCGGTAAGGATAGGTAATCTCCGCCAGCTGGAACAGGCTGAAAACAGGACATGCGGAGGCTGAAAATGAGGCATGCAGAGGCCAAAAACGGGACGTGCAGAGGCCAAAAATAAGGCACGCAGAGGCGGCGATGATCCCCACAGCCTGGAACAACTGATCAGTGGTATTCCAGGAAGCAGATCCAAGTGCCAATCAGCTGCTTGTGCTAAATCCGGCTTGTTGAAGCCAACCAGACTGTTTGCTGCAAGGAGGCAAATTGCTGGGAGGCAGAGGTAGATTTTTTTTTCTTGTTTTCCTCACCAAAAGCTAGGTGCATCTTATAGTCTGGAGAGTCTTATAGGGTAAAAATAAGGTACCTCATTTTATTTACACACACATAGACACGTTTCTCTCTCTCTCTCTCTCTCTGTGTGTGTGTGTGTGTGTGTGTGTAGAAGAGAGTATTGTTCATCCCTTCCATCACTACATGAATAGCAATGACAAATGTAGATTTGAACATAAGGAAGAATGTAACAAAGTTAAGAGATGAATTCCTAACTAAGTTTAAATTATGGAATTTCTCAATAGAATTATTTGACCCCAGTGGAGATATATATATTTATATATGAAAACCAGTTGCAAAAGTAAGCGTTGCTGAACATAGTATAATAAAATGTTGATTTTAATGGGGGGAAGAGGTGTTTAGCAAATCTAAAGGCCTGTTAAATCTGTAAAATTCTTTTTGTGTACATATAAAAGTGTCCGTTTATTTGAATATCATTTTTTTCAATTCCACCACTTGCTGCAGCAGGAGTAATATGTTCCCATAGTGTTGCTTCCATCCATTGCCAAAGATACTAATCTGTTTTCTTCGCTCTGGCCCAGTTACAATAAAAGCCCAACAAACTACAAGGAAATAGATTCAAATTATGCAATCAGCCCCTTCCTCATTGAGCCCCTGATCTTCTCCATTTTGTCACATAGGCTTACCCATCCCAGCAATCTTTTCCAAACCTTCCCAGAACATCAGCAAAATCTGTTAAATCAACTTCATCAAAATTTCAAATTTTGTCTACTGCATCCAATTTGTCCAATAAATTGAAGATGTTATCCATTCGGTCATGTCCAACTCTTGGCAATTCTATAGGCCCAGTCTCTTTACTTCTTCTGATCTTGCAATACTTTTAAAAGTTTTTCAATGCTCTGATTGGTGTCAGCTTTGATGGTGTCTCCACTAAATTAAATTCCATTAACTACAGATTTTAATATACCATGAAATGTTCATTAACAGAAGAGCCTTTTCTGCTGCAGCTACCGCCTCTGGAATATCATACCCGACAAGGTGAAATCTCCCCCCCACCCCACCAATTCTTGTCTTTCCAAAAGGGCGTGAAAACTTCTGCCAACTAGCTTGGGACCCTAATGGGCATATTCCATTCTGGAAGTCGCAAGCAGACCAACTGCTCCCAGTTTATATATCGGTCTTTTTTATCCTGTTTGTTGTTAACTTAAATATGTATATTATTCATTGGTGCTAGTGAACACACGTTATATAAAGGAGTACAACTACAAGTATGAACAGTTATATACAATTAGGTATAAATAGGCACATACTTAGAAAAAAATGTAATAAATTGCTCATTTTTGTTAGGTCCATGAATCCTCCCCCCCATGTATTCCACAGCAAAATGCCAGTCTCATTAAAGAAAGTGGCCCTTGTCCGCTGCCTGCTCTTAATAGCTGGCATGCATATCTCTACAACTGAGCGACATTTATGCATATGGCAGATAAACAAACACATTGATGTCTGTATTTGAATGTTTTCTAGATCCTGTAAATCAACACAGTAAAAGAGAGAAACAAATGACATATAGTAGAAAACATCTCTGCATAAAAGAAAAAGAGACCTACCTATCCCAATCATCATCTCCAGTTCTCCTTCTCCAAGATCTTTCTGCACCAGGTTTATGACAATCGAAGTCATCCTCTATAAACAAAAGATATTTGATAATTTTAACAGCATGAAACAAATGATTGGATTCTCAGACAGCAGTACTTGTATTATTTTGAAGAATCATGCTAGAGTCACCCTACAGGAGAGTTAGGCAGCATACAAATTTAATAATAAAATAAGCAATGCTGGGTTTCTGCACTGTCTTTGCAGGTGAACAACTTTAAAATTGCTTTTAATCCTTTTTAAGAATTACTACTGGGCACCATCATAAATACATCCCTGCTCTTGTAAGAAAGTTGCACTAATGGAAATGAACAGCGAATGCTATAGACTGGCATGTGCAACATAAACAAAAAGTTGAAAAAATCAAGGTGATTCTTACAAGGCTTTGACTATCTGTAACTCCGGACAGATCTGACTCTTCAGGGGAAGGTAAATAATTGGATAATCTGACTACAAGTCCATCCCATATAGCCAATTATTAAAAATTATATGAACTGTAGTCCAAAATAATCTAGGCTGCTTATCCCTCATGTAGGAATTCCTTTTTAAAATTATAGTATCTATTGTCAAACCTGATCGTGTGGACCATATCGAGACATATCAGAATTTTTTTGCCTTTGCGGAGCCATTGTTCAAAAATCTCTTTTATACTACAATCCTATATATAAAATGAAATTAAATCACAGCAAGATGTAGACTTTGTTTATCCAGAAGTCACTTAAACTCAAGATAATTCCATATTTAGGCTCCATAATAGAGATGCAGTTACAATATCTTGGAAGAAACTTCTAAAAAGGGTCACCAACCTCTGGGCCATGGATCGGGACTTGGCCTCAGCATGCCAAAAACTGTGCCACAGAAACAAGAAAAGCCCTATCTATAGGATACAGGCAGCACACGAAACCACACCCACTCTGGTCTATGAAAAATATTTCTCCATGGAAGCAGACCTTGGTACCCAAAAGACTGGGGGGCGCTATGCTATTAGATCTGAGTAGATTTTTTCCTGGACTCATGACTCCCAACTGCAGAGCTAGTGGAGCCATGGGAGATCTTCTGCTATCACTCATACTCTCATTATATTACAATTAATGAATTAGTTCCTATGAAATCTACTCAGAAATTCCAAATGATTCAAAAGGCAGCAGACCAGCTGTTGATGGGGCAAATGTCAGAATAACAAAATGTTCTCCATCTTGCAGAAGCCGCACTAGGTATCACTACATTTCTGAGTACAATTCTACATGCTGGTCATTGCTTATGAAGTCCTTTATGACTTGGGGTATTTAGGACTGTTCCTGAAGTAGAATTTTTCTGGCCTGTGGATTCTGTTGAAGTGAGGATGCTGGTGATTAACGAAACTAACTCTCCCCACTAAGATTCTAGGTGAGAGCAGCACAAAAAAAGTTTCTTTTGGAATGCTTTGTCACGTTCTCTCCCACTCTTGCAAATTAGAACTGCTTCTTCCTTTATTGGATTCCAAAAGCAGGAGAATAACATACTTTGGGCCTTCAAGGAAAGGTAATAAGAATTATTACCTATATTGTCAGGCAATTATGACTTACTGCTGTAGGCTGCACAAAATGTAATGAAATGAGTGACATGCAAATTATGTGAAATAAACGTGTTTACAGAAATCTAAGTTACGCACAGTTCAGGTCACTTCTTGTATTACTCATTTTACGCACATGGAATTTATGCAATGTCGTCTATAATATTGGAACATAACCAATACTTAACCAATAGATTTAAGGATTCATGAAGACTCTTAGCAATCTTTCTTTTCCATACTTTAAAAAAAAAAGAAAGAAAGGAAGGTGGAGAAATATAACATGTCAGATTTTTTTAACCTGATGTCCTCCGTACATACTGTACTACAATTCTCAAAATTTAATAAAAGAAAATGTATAGAATGAAGAGTTCTGTTCTCTGTTATGTTGAAACCTTTAAAATTCTGAAAGAAACTGAATGTGGCACATTGACAACAGGCAAAAGGAAGTTTTGCATTTAACTGCAGAATGTACTTCCTTAAGTTGGGACCACAAACATGTAAAACAGGCTGGGCAAATTCATAGAGAATACAACTACCAGGGACGTGCAGTCACTAGAGGCAAGGGAGGCGGGGCCTCACCAGTCTCCTCAGGGAAAGGAAAGGATTTTAAATAATTTTCTTAAAATAATTAAAGCCAGGGTAGTTGCTACCAGATTTCAAGTCACAGTGGCTTGGTGTCTGCTCTCAGTATTAACTAGGAGGAGGCCAGAGAACTAGGGGCCTCTTTTGCATACGGATTTTTTCGCCTTTTAAGAGTTAAGCAAGGGTTAACAAGGGAAGAATTTCTTATGCAAATGAGGCACGTATTCTCTCCCCTCCTGTAGAGGGCATTTTTAGAGGCTTTTTAGAGTTTTCTAGGAGCGACTAGCTCAGTCTGACTTCAGAGCTCTGGCTTTTCAAGAGGGCAGGGTAGGGCAGGGAGAAGCAGAGTTGAAATCTGACTTCAGAGCTCTGGCTTTTCAAGACGGCAGGGTAGGGCAGGGAGAAGCAGAGTTGAAATCGTCTCTGAAACAGCTGGAAAAGGTCCGTGTGTGGGGAGGGGGGAGGAATTCAAAAAGTTTGATCGGAAGGCAGCAGGGAAAGGGGGGGTATGGCAGAGGAGCTGCTTTCAAGCCTTTGGAAAATATATCCAATCCAACTTCTGTGTTTGTGTTTGAGAATGAGTGAATGAGAGAGGGATCGAAGTTCTCTGTCTGCGTGTGTCTGTTTGAGAGAGGGGGAGGGAAGGAGAGAGGGAGGAAGGAGGGGGAGGGAAAAGAAAAAGAATGGGAAAACTTATTTTGCAAGGGGGAAAAATGCTGTCGCTTTAAATCGGAACTTAGCATGCCTGGCTGTGGAATTCTGGGAGTTGAAGTTCAAAAGTCTAAAAAGTGCCTCACCAGGGCTAAAGCTGACCGCACGTCACTGACAACTACTAATGGCTATTAAGCCTGATGGTAATATATCATCTTCGGTTTTGAACAGAATATTGTCATAAGTATTAGTTGTTGAAGACCATAAACCAAAGATATTAATTCATCCTCAAATTTTACTTCTGAACCTCTCAGACACAGATGGCTACTTTAAATAGCTAAATCATATGCAAATAGTATTGCAAACTAACAAACCAAATTCATTTCTTGTATTCTACTTAATAAAAGTTCTCTAAGATAAAATTTAGTACACTACCAAACATTCAAACTCAGTATATTGGAAGTCCAACAGTTGTTTAGTTGAAGAAAATAATTTAAATGGCACAATTTGTTTGAAGGGGAGAGAATACCTAATAATAAAGCTGATACCTGATAATAAATAGACAAAACAATACTGTAGTTAGCAGCATCTAAGGAAATCATAGTCTAATATCTAATGATTTCCACCATCTAAGTATCTCCTGCATTCACAATATTTTCCACTAATATACACTGGAACAGTTTTGTAAAACAATTTTCATCATACTTTGCATTTTTAAGGCTCAAGTATGGATATACAAATGCACAGAAGGAATAAAACTAGCCAAATCACCTATGACAAGAACAATTCAAACTACAAGAAACTTGAAATAAATATTTGCATTTTCCAAAATCTTCTCTTACCTTATTACTATAGATAACCTGCTGTACAGTATTGTAACTTATACTAAAGCATCTTATATCAATTGAGAATTAGGATTAATTAATCAGGAAGTGGTTTAGACTAGTAGAAGATAGGCCTTTCAAGTTCAAGCAATATTTTAACAATTACATGGCAGAATTATACTTTAAAGTCTTGGCATGTGAATTAAAAACCTTCCCTAGGCTACTTCCATCAGTAGCAAGGATATCTCCCAGTTCATTTTCTCAATTTCATAGGCACATCTGGAATTCACAAAATCACCAGCTCAAAACAGCCATCTAAAAATATATAGATCTCTTTTCAGAGAAGTCTTTCTGAGTATGTGTTCCCTTTCTTCCTTGTACAATACGTAACTGCAAGAGCACTCAATATGATACCAATATTCTTACAAAAGTAGTTTTCTGTATGTCCACTGTAACAGATATCTTTTCTATTTAGAATATTGTAAACATAAGTATTGTCTAATGCCTAACTATATTTCCCTGTGTTGTATGGCTGTATTATTATTATTATCCTTCTCATCTTCTCTACTATCTCCTCTAATGATAATTAGTATCATTATGATTATTACTACTATTGTTGTAATATATGTACACTGAGAGCTTCTGCACCTAAACAAATTCCTTGTGTGTCTAATCATTCTTGGACAACAAAATATTCTATTCTATAAGTGGAGGAACTCTCCACTTATAGAGTAATTATAGGCAGTAATTAAATTTTGCACCCTAAAAAGAAAATGTAAAACTAACAGTCCAAGCAGCCTAGCTGTGTTTACATATTATAGCACCTATAACATCTATTATGATATCTGCCTTCCTTATGTCTTGGCTACTAAAATGTCACTCTAGGTTGTGTAGTTGTTTATAGACTTTTTAAAATATTGTGACTATTTTAATTTGCAATTTAATGTTATTAAAAAAATTTCTAATTTATACTGGTAATGTCAAACCTGGCACAAACTTTAACTTCGAAGTAGAAAACAATTCTTGACCATTTGCTGAAAAAGGTATATTTTTACTAGAGATCAAGTGTATTGCACATGATGCAAAGCCAGAACTGAGATTTACATGCCAAAATCCCTACCCTATTGCCCTATACTTTTCCACGCATGCCCCCTTGGTCCCCTTTCTCCACAATTCATCGCAGGGTGTCACCTCATGTCAGCGAAGCACAAGCAAACATGAAGTGGCAGCTGACAATTAACAACCTGTATATATTGTATTGGGACTTAAGTAAGTTATAACTACAATAAAACCTTGAATAAAAATCTTTGCTATAGGACAACCCTCTTCAAAACCAATCATCTTCCTTCTTTTTATTCATAATGGGAAACAAAAAATAATGGCATGAATGTTTGTGGAGATGAGATTTAAAGATATGGGGAAAAGTTCTTTTCCAAAAATAAATTTACTCTTGCTACTCCAAAATCCCCAATTGTTTAACTGGGATGTTAAGCAAAGAAAACAGCCTAGCAATTTGGATTCAGAAATCCACGTAAAACAAGACTGTCACAAACACTGTGACTTTAGACTATAATGTCAATAAGTAACAAAAAGTAAACAAACAAAGTATTTTCTCTGCAAGACAACATGTTTCACAAGGAAGTGTTTTATTTACAGGAATTGCATTGATTCTATATATGCTCAGACCAGCAACACACCCCTACCCTATATATACTTTATTATCAACAATGCACTAAAAAGAAGAGTATGCAGATATAGAAGCAATCCAAGATGAGTAAACAAACTTTGCAGCAAATTTGAACTGAGATTCAGGTCAAAGACTTCAGCCACTCTATCTTGTGGCTCTTCCACATGATCAGTTTTGCTTGTAAATAAATACAGGTAGTCCTTAACTTACAATTGAGCCCAAAATTTAAGTTGCTAAATAAGAAATTTGTTAAGTGAGTTTTGCCCCATTTTATGACTTTTCTCACATTTGTAAAGTGAATCACTGTAGTTCTTAAATTAATAACACGGTTGTAAGTGAATCTGGCTCTTCCATTCACTTTGCTTGTCAGAAGGTCGCATAAGATAATCACATGACTCTGGGACACTGCGATTGTCATAAATGTGAATCAGCTGCCAAGCATCTGAATATAAATCACATGTTCATGAGGATGCTAAATGTGAAAGTGGTCATAAGTCACTATTTTCAGAGCTGTTGTAACTTTGAATGGTCACTAAATGACCTGTTGTAAGTTGAGGACTACCTATAGATACAAAATGTTTAATTGAGTTTCTTTTTCACTTTTATTACAAAAGTTTGGAATTTCTATATATACTGTAAGTAATGAAATCACACAACTAGCAAGTTATTTAAACTTTGGTAACTTTACAAAAGCACTAAATTGCAGGATATGGGACCAAACATAACAAAGAAATTCTTATGAAATTAGGGAGAAGAGAAACATCCAAGAAAGCATATGATAAATTCAAACTTAATATATAAGCTTTTTTATTCATGACATTAACAGTCCCATAAGATACATATCCAGAACCCAAGCCAAGACTGAGATGGGGCAAACATAAAAAATAGGAATGGGCTGAATGTGAGTATTTTAAAAGCAAGCAATAAACATAGTAAGTTAAACTCATATTTCTTTTTTCAAAATATAAGATGTTCATGTCATTCAGGATTGAAATGACTTCTGCAATAAGGCCAGATTCATGATTTACACTCCTTTACTAATCAAGGCCCTTTGCAGCAACGGAATACACTGATGTCAACCATCATATCTATATGTATCTAATAAAAGAATAAGAATGAGGGGGAAGACAGCAATTCCCACAAAAGAATGAGTTCAAATGGAAGGAAATGTGAAATGAAATAAAATAAAATAAAACGAGCCACAATAACACCTCCTAAGCACTGTATTCTAACCCCAAAGTCCTATGCCCCTATCTTGCTTTTATAACCCCTTAAGGTCTCCCCTGTGGCTATGGTTTTCCCAGTTGCAATGTTGGACCATAAGGAAGGCTGGGTGCCAAAGAATCAAGGTCTTTGAACTATGGTGCTGGAGAAGATTCCAAGTTCCTTGGGCTGCAAGTTGATCAAACCAGTCACTCCTAGAGGAGATCAACCCCGACTGCTCTTTAGAAGGCCAGATTCTGAAGATGAAACTCAAATACTTTGGCCACCTAATGAGAAGGAAGGACTCACTGGAGGAGAGCCTCATGCTGGGAAAGATGGAGGGCAAAAGAAGAAGGGGACGACAGAGAATGAGGTGGCTGGATGGAGTCACCAAAGCAGTCAGTAGGCGTGCGCTTAAATGGACTCCAGGGGATGGTAGAAGACAAGAAGGCCTGGAAGAACGTTCTCCATGGGATCACAATGGGTCGGACACAACTTTGCAACTAACAACAACTCTAAATAAAATTATTCTTGAAAGTAGGGAAAATAGGAACCTGAAATATATTTGAAACAAATGTTGCAAGGTATCCATCCATCTATCCCTCTATATTTATCTATCTACCTACCTACCACCTACCTACCTGTCAGGGTTCCACACCTCCTCTCAAGTTGCCACTATCTATCTATCTTGTAATGCTTGAATCCAGAGTATGGTAGAGGACAGGAAGACCTGGAGGAACATTGTCCATGGGATCACGATGGGTCAGACACGTCTTCACAACTAATAACAATTCTAAATAAAATTATACTTGACAGTGGGGGAAAGAGGAACCTGAAATATATTTGCAAACAAATATTGCAAGGTATCCATCCATCCCTATCTATCTATCTAGTACCGACCTACCTGTCAGGGTTCCTGTGACCTGCTCTCAAGTTGTCTCTATCTATCTAACTTGCAATACTGGGAAAGCTGGAGGGGAAAAGAAGAAGGGACAACAGAGAATGAGTCACTGAAGCAGTAGGTGTGAACCTAAATAGACTCCAGAGGATGGCAGAAGACAGGAAGGCCTGGAGGAACATTGTCCATGGGGTGGATCAGACACGACTTCACAACTAACAACAACATTAAAAGATCGCTGCACCCACACCCCCTGCAATCCTAAGCCCTTAAAAGAACTGCCACCAAACGGGGGACCCCACCTTTTCCTTCCCATTCCCTAGAAAGCCCTTCCTAGCAGTGATGGAGGTTACCTCACCTGTGTAATGAATACAAGAAAACATACAAGCTCAGGGAGCACCAAGGACCCCCTCATGCCAACCCCTGAGCTAGAAACGACCCCCGTTATCGGTCCCACTTCCAGGAACCCCCTTCTTCTTCTTCTTCTTCTTCCCCGCTTCCTCCAACCAGACGGCCCTCAGACAAGCCTGACGTGCCTGCCTTGCCCAGCCGGGCTTCGTCGCCCGTAAACACCACCCGCAGGCGCAAACACCTTTCCCTCCTGCAACCTGCCAAATCAGCTGCTGCTTCTCTTCACTCTCCCTGGGGCGTACCGCCTGGGGGCCCTGAGGCTTTCCCCGAGGATCAGCCGCAAGCCCTCCCTGCCTGCCTCCCCTTCCCCCCCCCCCCCGTGCGAGCTGTCATTGCTCCGGCGTTGCAAAAAACCAACCCCCCCGCCCCGGAGAACGGGAAAGGAATACTGCACCTGCTCCCGCTCCTCCCAAGGCGGCCGCCATGGCGTCGGATCTCGCCAGGTCGCGGCGCGAGGAGCCCGCAACCTTCCTGCCTTCTCCCGACGCCGGGAGCTCCCTTCGCCCAAGCACCGATCCACCCGCCGCGGAGCGTAAAAAACTAGAACAACATGGCGGCCGGCTGCTGAGGGGAAACGCAGAGGAAACGGGTGCAGAGCGCCGCTAAGGAGTGCCGCGTTGCAGTCTGGGATGTTGGAAGACCGCCTGTTCCGTAGCAGAGCGGAAGATGGTGGACTCCGCCAGCTGGGCCAATCTGCCGCAATGGAGGCAAAAAGGGGGAGGTGAGAAGAGGGCGGGCTCTGAGGAAAAGCCACGCCTTCTAGCCTAAGCGGAGGAAAGCGGGCCTCTCTTGCCCTTGACTTTATGATCTAGTGACTTTATTTTATGGATTTTAAAAAAGGAAAAATTGGACTAAGGGGCGCATGCGCGTCAAGAGACCAGGCAGCAGAATAAAGCCGGAGAAAGCCAATAAATGTGGCGCATGCGTGGACTGCCGGAGGAGGATTTTGTTTTGTTTTTCTGCCAGTGAAGCGGAGGGAAAATATTTTGGAGCTCTGTCTCCGCGGCTTTTTCTCTAAAGGGGAAAGGATGGATAAGTGGTTCTTCGGCTGGAAAAGGGTCATAGGTTGCTGAACAACCGACATAGCACGCACATTGAATGATAAAGAAAACTTTTTTTTATCAGCCACAAAGGCTGCTTTAACCTCGTAGACAAAACTATGTTCTATCTAAAAACGTCTACCCCAGTGTTTTTCGACCTTGATAACTGGAAGCCGTGTGGGTTCATCCCAGAATTGCCCAGTCAGATACTGGCTAAGGGACTGTGGAATGAACAATTCCAAAACAGTTTTTTTTTTTTAAATTCAAAACATATCTTAAAAGAGTTTTAAGTCCGCAGGTGTGAAGAGTTGCCAACTTTGAAAGACTCTGGTTTTAGCCCTTTATAAAAAAATAAAAATAGTGCATGAAATGATGGAGGCGCATATAAAACCAATACCTGAGCTCATGATTAGAGACGAGTTAAGCAGATGATAGATACAGAAAGGGATTTTTGAAGAAAGGGATGTATCTAAGTCACATATCACTGGTGTGTACAATCTGGTCAGGGGTGGGTTTCGACCGGTTCGCACCGGTCCCTGCGATCCGGTTGGTCGCCGAACCCGGAAGTAAGTAACTTCCAGGAATGGTGAAGCCCCCCCCCCCGCACCCGCGCGCGCCCGCACACCCGCGCCCACTCCTTACCCGGTTTTTCCGAATTCTGCGCTTTCCACGCATGCGCAGAACACATACAGCGCCTGCGCGATCCTCCAGGAGCAGCTGGAGCATCGCGCAGACGCTAGTAAGCATGCGCATGCTGCGTGCGTGCACACGCGCGCTGCGTGCGTTCGTGAGGACGCCGCGTGCGTGCGCGAGGACGCCGCGTGCGTGCGCGAGGACGCCGCCGGCCTCGTTCCAACCGATCCGGTTGGAACGGGGCGAGAAACCCACCCCTGGTATGCACGCAAGTGTGTGTGTGTGTCATGCGCATAGAATTACAGGTGTGCTCCCCCCGCTTTTGGCACGTGATGGGAAAAAGGTTAGCCATCCCTGTACTAGGCCATAAATTGTGCTGTACATACCACGAAAATCAGGTTACAGCTTGTAATAATTATGATTACCAGATTCAGGGGTGGGTTTCTCGCCCCATTCCAACCGGATTGGTTGGAACGAGGCCGGCGGCGTCCTCGCGCACGCATGCGGCGTCCTCGCGCACGCATGCGGCGTCCTCGCGCACGCACACAGCGCGCGCGTGCACGCACGCAGCGCGTGCATGCGTACTAGAATCTGCGCGATGCTCCAGCTGCTCCTGGAGGATCGCGCAGGCGCTGTATGCATTCTGCGCATGCGTGGAATGCGCAGAATTCGGAAAAAACGGGTAAGGAGTGGGCGCGGGTGTGCGGGCGCGCACGGGCGCGGGGGGGGGGGCTTCACCGTTCCCGGAAGTTACTTACTTCCGGGTTCGGCGACCAACCGGATCGCAGGGACCGGTGCGAACCGGTCGAAACCCACCCCTGGTGCATACGCATGCGACACTATGCGTGCATGACCCCCATTCTTCCCCCACTTTTGGTCCGTGATGGATTTGCCCTCTCTGGGCTCCAGAGGCTTTCTAGGAGCCTGGGGAGAGTGGAAATGCCCTCCCCGCGAAGGCCCTCCGGAGGCTTCCCTGAATCCTCCAGAAGGCAAAAAACGCCCCTACGGGCAACCCAGAAGTTCAGGAACGGACTTACAGTTTGCTCATAGGGCCGTTTTTCGCCTTCAGGAGACTTTCCTGAAGCTTCTGGAGGGAGCAAAACGGCCAAAAATGAAGGCCAAAGTAAGCTGGACAGCACGTGCATGCATGCTGAAACTGACAGGGCAACGCCTCACGTGCCCTAACTAACGGCTCCGCGTGCCACCTGTGGCACACATGCTATAGGTTCGCCATTCAGGCCTAGTATACTATGCAAATGTGGCTCATTGTGATTTATTCAATAGCTATACTTAAACCCTGACAATGTGATCTCAAACAAATTTTCGGAGTCATCTGAACCCCAGGTTCTGTTGCTGTCCTTTCAAATGAAGTTAATTGGGATCTAAGTACATAGGCCCATGATGGTGAACCTATGGCATGCATGCCACAGGTGGCACATGGAGTTCTCTCTGAAGGTACATCAGCCGTTGCCCAGCTCAGCTCCACCGCGCATGCGCATGCGCCTCCCACCGGCCAGCTGGTTTTTGGGGAGAGGGGGAACATGGGGGGGTCACGTGCATGCATGGGGAAACATGCACATTGCTTTATGGCGCATTCACGCTTTTGGCACACAACGACAAAAAGGTTAGACATCACTGACATAGGCTATCAGTGTCTCTCAGAAAAGAAATTAAGGGTGCATATTAATTAATCAACTTCATTTTTCTGATCCATAAGAAAGCAAAAAAAAAAAAAGATTTCCATATAGGATAACTAAGGTGCATGTATTTGTTCACACCTGTGGTGGAATCTGCTAAACCACAATGAGAAAATCATACCCATGTTTTATGTTATTGCATTATTTTTGGTTTTAAATGACTGCAATTGTAGTCTGGTTTTTGCCTCACTGTTGTGAACTGTATTTGTGGAGTTAGTTGTTAGTCCTTCTATAGTAACAGAGAAAGGAAGGTCCTGGCCTCCTTGGGTTGTGTTAATGGATTCAGATCATCCTATCTTTAGGTCCTATTGATTATCGTGCCATGCCATCAGATTAATTTATCAGCCAATAGTAAGTTATAGCCTGGTTTTTAATTAATTAGTTCATCTCCACAAAAGAATATACATATAATCTACATCATTATATTATATGGTACAGTACAGGGGACCCAACAGAAATTCTCATCCAACAGTAAAACAGAATATTTTTTGAAGAGCTTTCTTGAATAATCAATTGACTTCATTGTCCATTGTAGTAGGTTTTAATTAAGCGATAAAGCCTTCCATGTGAATGCTTTTATCTTTCAGATAAGGATTTATCACATATCCACCCACCCCAGCAGGTTTTTATCTGAAAGATAAGGAAAGGTACATCAGTGTCCACCTGTTAGTTTAAATCCTTTAATTAAAGGACCTCCAAATAAAAGTCATAGGCTTGAGAGATACAAAACAGGTTAATATCTTGAACTAGATGAGCATCTTTTGAGTTTAGGAGAATATAAAGAATTTTGGTAAATTCAAAACCTATTGGATCCTTTGGGGCTCTTCATATGAGCCGAGGTGGGGCAGTGGTTAGGGTGCAGTACTGCAGGCCACTTCAGCTGACTGTTATCTGCAGTTCAGCGGTTCTAATCTCACCGGCTCANGTTCAGCTGCCCTGAGTCTCTTCGGGGAATAGGGCGGCTTACAAATCGAATAAATACCAAATAGCAAATACCAAAATCTTGGTGCGTTTTATACTCTGAAAAATACGGTACTTATGAACCTGGTTTTGAAGTTCCCATAGACAGACAGACATATACCACAGTCACACAATCACATTTTGAGCACTTGGCAACTTTTGCAACATTCTGTGGTCACATGATGGCAATTTTTGTTTTTGTTTTTTGCTGGAAACTGACATTTGCTTTCAGTTTCCAGCCCCCCCAAAAAACAAAACCCAAAACCTATTGGTTGTAAGGGATGTGTTTAATAACTGCTGCATTTGTTAAATGACGGCTGCAAAAAACATTGTAAAATCAGACACAGACAGTTAGTGACCACTTAACAACAGCTATCATGACTTGCAACTCAAGGCTCAATTGGGGTTGTAAGTCGAGTACAGGTAGTCCCCGACTTACGACCATTGAGCCCAAACTTTCCTTTGCTAAGCAAGGCAGTTGTTAAATGAATTTTTATTACCTTTCTGGCCACAGGTGTTACGCGAATCATGGCATTTGTTAAGTTAGTAACACAGTTGCTGAGTGAATCTGGCTTCCCCATCGACTTCGCTCGTCACAAAAGGGGATGAAAAGGTCACCTCATAAGAAGTCACAAAATGTGATCACAGGATCCCAAGACACTGCAACCGTCATAAATACGAGACAGTTGCCAAGTGTTTGATAATATGACTATGGGGATGCTGCAATGGTCACAAGTATGAAAAACAATCATAAGCCACTTTTTTTCAGGGCGGTTGTAACTTCAGACAGTCACTAAACAAATCGTTGTAAATCTAGGACTACTTGTAACCCACCTGTATTCTGAAATTTGCAAGGTGTAGCAGATCAAACTGGATCAGTAGTGGGTGCAGGCAGTATGCACTAATATGGGCGTACCAGTGCCTACCGGGAGCTCCAGGTAGCGTTCCGGTATGGTGCTCTGGAGGGCCCACCTGCCCCCACCATCCTTACTTGCAGTTGAGCTCTTCGGTGCTACCACCCAAGCGCATGGAGCATACAATGTCTGCATGACACTCCGCCAAGCAGCTGGAGTGTCACGGAGGCATCGCGGAGGCATCACAGCGTCATGGAGGTGAGGATGCATGCATGTGCTGAGCGAGTTCATATGGTGGACACCGGGCCCCGTTGCACCGTACCAGTTTCAACAGGATCCGGAACCCGCCACTGGACTGGATATCTAT